AAATATTTAAAACTTAAGATTTTATAGATTTCTTAAAAATATATGATTTTTGATGAGAAGTGACTTGGAGCACCATATTAAATTAATACTAATATATTATATTATTACAAATAATGCCCAACTACCTGATAAAATCTATTAAATACTCCAGAAAGTGATGACACTAATGCTAGTAAAATAATAACTCAAAAGAAATGTGATGTTGAATTTGATTATTGCAATAACAGAAAACACTGGTAATTAAAGAAAGAAACAAACCATAATCAAACATGCCAGAAAACAGTAATGCTAGATATATTTATACTAGAGAAAGATGTAATATAAAAACACTATAAGACTAAAAAAAATAGTTAAAAAAACATTAAATAAAAAACTCTGGTTAGTAAAAAAACTCTATTAAAAAAATTACTCTTTCATAATTATCTGTTATTACTTAATCATTATTTACTCGTAATTATTCAAAATTACTTTTTAGCTACTTGCAATTATTAATATCACTCTTTAGCTATTTTCATTACTCATAATTATTAATGTTTCTCTTTAGTTATTAGTAATTACTCATAATTATTAATGTTACTCTTTAGTTATTTACCCATAGTTATTAATATTTACATTTTTTTTTATATCATTTAAGTCTAATATGTTGGGATTAAATCTATTATTGGTGACCCTTTTGTTTCACATGCGATACTTATAAAGATTCTTTACAATCATCATGCACAAGTTTTTTTCATAATATAATATAAAAGTTAATCAAAGATTCTTCATAATCAACTTTATATTATTAGTTTTTGAGGCAATGTTATAGGGATATGTAAGCTCAAAGTTTGGGTCGCAAAGCATACTTCATGACTATTAGATGAAGTTTTGCTTTTTGTTTAGGCCATATGAAGTGTCCACGTAGTAAATGTGGAGAGTGCCGTGTGACTTGGGGTACTATAACAAATTAGAATAGAGGTTTTATTAAAAAAAATTTTATAGCTAAATTTTCTTCTAAAAATTTAGCATACAAATTTGTATGCTAAATTATACGGTTTAATGGATAATAACTATGTTTCATAAAGTTGAGAGATAAAATACATAAACGAATGGAATTTATTAATATTATTAAACAATAGCTAATAATCTAATAAAATTGGATATTAAAGTTTTAAACAATTTAGATCTAATAACTTGATTAAAGCTTGCATTACTTTAATCCGCATTTGCTTTCAGCTAATTTTTGATAATAAATATATGCCTTATATTCATCCATTTTAACTCCAATTCCATGTTTATAATAATGACCAATTTTGTCCATTCCATCTATATACCCCATATCTACGGCTGTTTTATAATAAGTGAACGCCTTACTTTGATCATTTTCGACCCCAACACCATATTGATAACAATAACCAACATTGTATGTTGCAACGTTATTTCCCATATCAGCAGCTTTTTTATAATAAGTGAATGCTTTAGCTTCGTCTTTTTCGACTCCAATTCCATAATGATAACAATAACCAACTTGAGATACTCCATTAGAATAACACATATCGGCAGACTTTAGATAATAAATGAGTGCATTATTTTCATTCTTTTCAACACCAATTTCATGATGATAACAGTAACCTACGTTATATGTTGCAACATTATTTCCCATATCAGCAGCTTTTTTATAATAAACGAATGCTTTTTGTTCATCTTTTTCGACACCAATTCCATTTTGATAACAATAACCAACTTGAGACGTTCCACTAGCATTACCCATATCAGCAGACTTCTGATAATAAATGAATGCTTTACTTTCATCCTTTTCAACACCAATTCCATGATGATAACAATAACCAACACCATATGCTCCAATAATGTGCCCCATATTAGCTGATTTGTTAGAGTAATAAAATGATTTATTTCCGTCTTTTTTAACACCTATTCCATCTTTATAGCAATAAGAAAGTTTATCTAATCCACAAGGATCATCCATTTTAGCTGACATTTGATAATAAATGAATGCTTTATGTTTATCTTCTTCAACACCGATTCCATATTCATATAATTCACCAAGATCACACATTCCATAAGAATTTTCCATGTCAGCAGACTTTTTATAATAAATGAACGATTTATATTCATCCTTTTCAACCCATTTTCCATAACGATAACAACGTGCGAGAATAGTTAAAAGTATAGAATTTGTTTGATTATTTAAGCACAAATTAATTAAATCCTCTGTTTTTAATAGCTTTCTTGTCAAATATTTTTCTATTGAATTAAAAAATTCAAAATCATAACTCCCTTTGAGTACTTCTTTTTCATGTAATTCGCATAATTCTTCAATTGTTTTTTTATCATCATATAATTCATATGATTCATCTGTTATTTTTTTATTTTCATACAATTCACATAATTCATCGATTATTTTTTTATCATCATGAGCTTTACATGATTCATCAATTATTTGTTCATCTAATAAATCCCGTAACTCATTAGTATTTTGTAGCATGTTTATTGGCGTAAAGGATTAAAATTTTGTTTATTTCTAATAGTGTGAATTGCGTTTTTTTTTATTGCCCGTTTATATAAGTGAATTGTTTAAATGTTTTATAATCTTTATTTGATATCATTAATAAACGACAGATTTATTTATGTATTTATAAATTTATTAAGTAGAGTTACAAATGCTTTTATTATTTAAAATATTGTACACGACACATGGCGTACGTACTTAATTATTCGGAATAAAGGCCGATTATGTGATATCGTACGTTGTAACAACGAAAAATCCGTGATACAGCACGTACGTACATGCATGCATAAGGTGGCCCGCAGCTTCCGCAGCAGATATTTATTTACTAGGAACGGAGTACAAAGTACGTACGTACGTACATGCGTGCATAAGGTGTCTCACAGCTTCGCAGCAGATATTTATTTACTAGGAACGGAGTACAAAGTACGCACGTACGTAAAGTATTGGGTTTACGAAATACTAATCAATCAAATCTATGTAACGCATTGTAATAAAAACTAGTAGTACAGATTTCTAGCGAAGACCAGTGTTCAAAAAATTGCTTCATCTCACTATCAACTATTTTTTTCAAGCAATTTATACATAAAATGATTAATTTAATATAATTAAACAAAGGCATAATTTCAAATATTTAATAAAATTTAAAAAAAAAACTTTGTGTGAATTGTTCAAGCTAAAAAAATGAATTGGCTTTATTAAAAAAAATTAAAAAATAAAATAAAAATAAAAATTTGAAACAATAACTTTGTTTATTTATATTAATCTAATCGTTTGATGTATAAATTTCTTGAAAAAAATATTTGATAAGTGAGATGAGCAATTTTTTGAACAGTAGTCTTCGCTAGTAAATTTAACGATCTTGCCGATCTATGCATAAAATATGCACTACTAGTTTTTATTACAATACCTTATATAGATTTGATTAATTAGTATATCGTAAGCCCAGTAAAGTATGGTTTACGGGCAAGAAATGTAATGCGTACGATTCTGTGCATCTAATTGGATGATCCGTGTTTGTGCTTCATCTTATGATTCTGTATTTGTAAGCTGTATGAGGCATTTACTTGATCTAAAAACATTATTCTATATTGTCATCGAGTTTACTATTAAGCACCGTAGTTTTTAGATTTGTTATGCGTCGGGTTACAACTTGATTTTGCTCGTTATGATTCCACTCGTATTATAGATTTGTGCATCACGTAAAATTTTTGTACAAATATAAGGCTTGACGTCATAACGGTTTACTCTATTAATACTGTAATGTACAGGAACGAATGCATAGGCATGGTTTATAGTGCAATTTAAGTTGCATTGGTCCGCAAAATCTTATATGATTTGTTTGCGTGACTTATCCACCATCTATTCTTTATTTTTCGCATACAGTAAGGATTGGAATCCGATTAATCGATTAGTCAACTTAATCGACTAATCGATTAGTCGACTAATCAACTAATCGACTAGTCGACTAGCCTAGAGTTTGGAACCGGTTTTATTTTTCATATGTTATAGCCGGCTAAAACCGGGTTTAACATATGAAAAATAAAACCGGTTCCAAACTCTAGACTAGTCGAATAATCGGCTAATCGGTTAGCTAGATGTTATATGAACAATAGTTAATAATATTAACCAATTATTACGGTTTGCAAAATTTTGTAGATGACCCGCTTGTGAACGTAGTCACAAGGCGGGACATTATTGTGAGTCACGGGACTTCCCAGAAGTCGATATTCATAGAGTGCATTATGATGTAATTTGAGAAGATTAGTATTTGAGTAACTTGATAATCTGTTGATTTCTTTGTTCTTGAATTTTTCTGCTCGACATTGTGTCCAGCTACGTCGCAAGAACAAGCCAGTGAAGATTTGAGGAAAGTCAGAAATTATGTCTGAAGAAACTCAAAATACTCCGATTGAAGTAAACAGTGAAGCAACCACATCGCAGGTGGAAAATAACCATGTGGTCGATTGGAACCGTATGCGAACAACAGACTTGAGGGCAATGTGTTCAAAGTGTGGCCTTCAGGTTGATGGTAGTAAAACTGAATTGGTGGGCCGTTTGGAAGCCTTCTGGAATGATCCCGAAGAGGAACCTGTGAAACCAGATGCAAGAAAGGGAAAGTCAGTTGACCATGAGTTCGGTAAAAAATATGATGAAAGAGATAGATCCCCTCCTTCGGAGGAGCTTGGTTATAACGATGCTTTTTTCTCCTACATGGAAAATAAGGTGGAGGAAAAAATTGAGGAGAAATTAAGTAATTCATTATCGAGGGTACTAGATAGAGGTTTGCAACAATGGACAGCAAGGTTAAAGGGTGCTAATACGATTGAGTCAAGTTTCCCTAAAAAGAAATTTAGAAGAATACGGGATCAATATGAGTATGATTCTATATGTGATGCAGGCATTATGCTTCAGGGGGCAATTCAAGAAGATTCGAGAGAAAAGGTAGAGGAGGTACAGGAAAGATTGAGGCTGAGGGTGTTTATTTTAAGGGTGGTTGAGGAAGAAGGTTGGAATATGGTGGCTAAAATTCCGAAACCAAATGAGGAGGGTGATGAATTTAAGGAATTATTGGATGAGGCTAGGAAGAAAGCAATGCAACGGGATGGATTTGCCTCATCGTATTATCGAAGACCATGGCAATTTAAAGGAAGACGATTTTGGAGTTGGGGTGCGGGAGGAAACTACTATACGCCGTATCCTCATCCTCAGCAGTATATGCAGCAGTCACAATTACTCATGAATCAATTTCAAAACCAAAGTATATTTTCTAACACGGGTCCTACTTATCAGAATGCATTTAATAAGAATTTGAATAAACAGTTTACTTGTTATTATTGTGGGGGCGCAGGTCACACTGCTTCAGTTTGTGCCTCAAGATCGGCAGAAGGTAGTACAAGGGGAAATGGCCTTTTTCGGAACAAGAGTAATAATGGAAGTGGGTGACTACACTCGGGAGAAGGAGTTGAAAAAAATAAAAACGTTAGTAAATATGGAACAAAGCAGAGATGTTGTTGGGAAGATCCACGAGCCAGTTGCAGTAAGATATTGGATGGAGAAAATAAATCCGCCACCAGTAGTAGCATGCTGGTTAAAGAATCAAGTGCCTTTATTTCCAAGAAATGTATGGAGTTTAGTCGAGAGCGGGATTCCAAAACCTTACAAGTTGACTCTAGATCAAATGAAATGGCTAAAGGAGGAAATTAGTCGGTTAGAAAGGTTGGGGCAATAGAAAGAGTTGGAATGACGTCAGTTTGTCCAGGCTCCCTGTTAGAAGTATCTCCATTATTCTTGGTGCCAAAACCAGGACCAAAACGGTTTCGCCTAGTAATAGATTTGAGAAGGTTAAACGAGTGCCTCCCAAAGAAATCATTCAGATTCAAAGGGCTGGGTGGACTACTAAGGTCAATAGGGAAAGATTGGTCAATGATTACGTTGAATTTAAGGGATGGCTACCATCATGTGCTAATAAACAGAGAAGCACGTCGCTTTCTGGGTTTTTGTGTAGAAAAAACATGGTATCAGTACCGGGTCTTACTATTTGGCCTTTCCCAGGCTGTTTGGATATTTTCGAAAATAATACATGCACTGATAGCTCACTGGAGAAAGATGGGTATAGCCTCAGGCTCACATGTAGATGATATTTGGGTGGCACACCCCTCTGCAATAGTGTTAGAAAAAATTCGCGATGAAATTATTTTACCAGACCTGAAAAATTGCGGGTTTGTACTGGCTTAGGACAAGAGCAGTCCAATACCAGCAAAGAAAATAAAGTTTTATGGACTATGGGTAGATACAGAAAAGGCACAGATAGTTGTGCTGGAGATGAAGTTAAAGGAAATGAAGATTTGTTTGGCATCACTAGCAAATGTAAATTGGGTAACAGCCAGACAGTTGGCAAGAGTCACAGGAAAGATGCAGAGTCTTGCGAGGGCCTTTGCCCTGGCACAAGTAAAGTGTTTGGAATTTTACTCCTTGATAGATGTAGAAAACAGACAGTTTTGGAGATGGGATGAGAAAATTTGGTTGTCAGACCAGGCAAAAGCGGACCTAAGTTGGTTGTTGGAAAATTTGGAAAGATACAATGGCCGCCCAGCCTGGAGACCTTCGTTGATAAGGAGTTTATTTGTAGATGCTTCTACAACTGGTTGGTGCGTGAAATTAGACAATTTAACAGCATTTGGAAACTGGGTAGAAAGTTCGAATTTTCGAGAAATTGCAAAATTGGAAGCCGAAGCAGTACTATTGGGGTTAAAAGGTTTTGCAGAGTTGTTAAGAGGTTTTTGGGTCCTAATATTTGTAGACAACTGTATAGCCTTGGCTACAATGAAGCTTGGCGACAAACAATGGTAGCAAAAAGAGGCCTACAGAAGGCTATAACAAGTTTGTTTCGAAAAAGACATCTGGGTTTACGAGATAAAATGGGTTCCTTCAGAGGAAAACCCAGCAGATTCTTGGACAAGGACCTTCGATTCATCGGATTGGTATATAAAAGAAGAAATATTTCAGGAAATATATGTAACCTTTGGACCTCACTCGATCGATCAAATGGCTTCTCACCTAAACACAAAATTACAAAGGTTCAACAGTTATCACTTTTGCCCGGGAACAGAAGCTGTAAACTGCTTCACCCAGAGTTGGGAGAATGAGATAAATTATGTTTGTCCGCCCCTGCACTTAGTACAGAAGGTACTTTATCATGTGAAAAGTTGCAAGGCAAGAGCAACGCTAGTAGTTCCAGAATGGCCATCAGCCGAATGGTGGCCCCTGCTTCTGAAGTTAAATTGGAAGGCTTTGGCCTTGCCAGAACCAAAAGTAATATTTGCGCCGGACCCATCAGGATTTGTAGAACCATGGAGAAATCTAAGGTGAAAATTCTTGGCGGTGCACATTTGGCCGTAAGAAGCTTATCGCAAAGAGCTAGGGAACTAGCTAAAGATTCTGTGTCTCCTTTTTACAAGGCTAGAACTGAGAAATATTGGGCTCTCTATAATAAGTTTTGTAAAAGGTTTAGTATAAATGTTGCAAACCCGCAGGAGGATAGTATTTTGGCGTTTATTATGTGGTTAGATATAATCGGGATATCATCTCAAACCTCGCAAATTCTTCAGACAGTTATAAGTAATTTGCACTTTGAAGGAAAGAAGGATTTTAGAAAATCATTAGCAGTAACAAAGGTTTTGAGAGCAATAAAGAAGGAAGTTTCAAGAAATAAAACACCGTCTGATTATATTCCCAGCGTATCAAAAAAAAAATACCTGGTTAGAATTTAAAAACTTATAAATTCAAAAGTTGCCTTTTGATATTAATTAGATAAATATTTATATAAAAATTAAAACTTTTAATTTTAAAATTAAAATAATGAATACCACATAAATATTCCTCTAGTAT